TTTTTTTTTTTTAAGTCAACTTAAATGAACTATATGATTTTAAAAAGCTGGGGTTTTTTTTTGGTTGGTCTCAACTGTTTAGATCTCAAAAATTGATTGTTTTCTATGAATGGAACTTAACATATTTAAAATTATATACATGAAACCTTGTAATTGTTCTTATTGAAATTAAGTACTTTGAGTTACTTATTATACATTTGTCCTGCACATAATGTAGCAGGTGCTGTTTAAATGAGAGCAATGAAGCAATTGTGAAACCAACATAAGGTCATGTATAGTTTATTAGATGGGAGGTGAAGTGTGATCATAATTAACTGTGGATTTTAATAAGTGCAATGAGTTATTTCAGTGGAGAGTTCACTTATTTGGAATGACCTGTGTAGATAGAAGATACGGAGTTTGGATATAATTCAAGGCATTTGAGAACCATTAGTGTTTTGTATAGAATCAAGTGATGCTGAAGCAAGGTTGAAGTTAAGGGTTTGGGCTCTGGAATCAGTATACTCAATTTTAAACCCAATTCTGATCTTAGTTAGTTCTATGTCCTTGGTAGATTACTAAGCCAATTCTTACCTGTAAAAAGGTGATAATTATAGCACCTACCTTTTTAGGCTTTTGTAAGATTTAGATGAGATATATCACAGAGTAAGTACTCAATAAATTGATATTATGAAATGCTTGACATACTCTTTTAAGGAACAGGAGAGTCAGAAAACTATAGTTTGAGCTTCAGTGTCAAGTGAAATGGCATCATAACACAGACCAGTCAGGAAGAGTTGATTTGGGGGAAAAGTCTAAGATTTTAGTTTTAATATATCAGAGTAACCTGTTGGTGTAAATACACAGCATGCTGTTAGAGTAGAAGTCTAGAGGAGAAATCAATCTGAGGTATCCCATTTGTATTTATGTATAGGTAAAATATGTGCTTTCATTTATCCTCTTTTGTGAACTTCATATGTATGTGCTTGGTTATTACACTGACAATAACAGTGATTGCTTTGCATGATCTTTTTTTTTTTTAACCTAAGCAAAAATAATTTAGTAAACCTTTAATCTTAGGGACCTCCAAGGGGAGTTGCTAGAGCCAGAATGAATAATGGAAACAAAGTATCAGGAATTAAGTTGTGTTCTCTTTAGTTTGGCCTGCTGAGGGAGCATATTGTCTTACTTTCTCTGGACTTTGATTCCTTTTTTTTGTCTTTCCACAGACCAACTTTATTAAAAACCTAAATATAATTTTCCCACCACACATTTTACCAAATTTTTAAAAATCTGATTATAAATTCCATTTAAAAGTACCTGTTTAGAAACACTTGATTTAGGGATTCCTTCCCTTGTCTAATTAACTATATCCAGTGGAAAAGACATAGTTTACTGTTTACCAGTGAAACTGTTTAATTCCTATAAATCAATACATTAAATGTATAGGGGCTTTTCTAAGTTCTCTGAAACTTTTCATTATTTTTACAGCCGTACTGTTTTAAAAATACCTTTTAACTAAAAATGACAGGTCTAAATACATTTTAAATTAGAATCTGAAGGATGGTGACACGTGCTTTAATATGACAGTTGTTATATTTTGTTCCAGATAGCAAATGCTATACAGTTTGGTTCAGTTAGTACAAAAACTCTGGAGGACACAGCCAAACTTTTTTCTTTTTTTTTTTGTACCGGGGATTGAACTTGGGACCTTGCGCTTGCAAGGCTGGCGCCAGAACCACTGAGCTAAATCCCTGGCCCCAAGCCAAACTTTTTGATAGTTGCGGGAATTGTTTCCTAATCAGAATGTATTTCATTTAAGTATTGCAGCACTATGAAGCTTTGTTTAAGGGAGTGAGTAGTTTAGGCCCAGTAAGTAGGCTAATTCATCGTACTGAGATGATAAGGAACTCAAAACTTGTGGACTGTAGTATTTTAGTAACTACTTAAATTAATTTAATGTTAAATGGCAGTATTACCAACCTTAGCTATTGTGGTGAGAACCTTGCAATTGATGCAGCAGCAATTGTAGCATGCAGTTGATGGCAGCTGTCACATGATCTATTTTTAAAATGTTTATGTATTTCTTCAGTTTTATCCTTGACTAAAAAAACTGCTGGGATTTCGCTCAGTGGTTCCACCACCTGCCTCAAAAGCGCAAGATCCTGAGTTCGATCCCCAGTACCAAAAAAAAACTGATAAAAAACTTATAAATTTCATTAGAGCATGGTTGTACTTTTGTTCCCAATTATATTCATAGTATCTAATAATATAGTGTAGAGACTGCCTTGGTAAATGTATATTGAGTGAAATAATACTGTATTTTCACCTTTTTTTGTTTTTTTTTGAAACAGGGTCTTACTATGTAATTCAGGCTGGACTTAACCTCACTATGTAGCTCAGGCTGGCCTCATAGTCACAGCAATGCTCTAAAGTGTTTATAGGGGTGTACCACCATGCCCAACTATATCCTCTCTTTGCAGATGGGCTGAGGAACAAGTAGTATGTGAATTGACTACGTTAATGCAAGTTGTTAGTGTAGCTAAACTAGTTTAGGTCTTTTGACGCCTAGCTTTTATCAACTGGAATGAGAGGCAAGTGTTTATTAAAAACATAAATACTTCCTGTAGATGGTGTAAAGGGTAGCATTTGAATATAACTATGCCATTTTCTACATAAGCATTTCAGTTTTATCAAATTTATATGACAAAATATTAAGTTGCAGTTATGACATGAAAATCATGGAAAAGTAATCATTGATCTTGTGCATGGATTTCATAAAAGATAAAAAATCCTTTTCTCTTACGCTATTTTTCTTTTTATTAGGGGCATTACTCTAGTGTGCCTTAATTGTGATTTCCTAGCTGATGTTTCTGGCTTAGATAATATGGCCAAACACTTAAGTCAACACGAAACTCACACTTGCCACATTGTAACAGAGAAAGGTAAGCATGTATAAGTGTGCTATTTTGGATTTTCAATATATATTCCATTATTTTTGGTCAGCCACAGTATGGGCTCTTTACTAAATCATTTTTCTCACTCATCACAGTTCATATGCTCTTGTAAATATAAAACTTTTCTTCTAATTTCAGTTTCTGTTTGTATCCCAACTTCTGAACATCTTTCTGAGTAAGTTTAATTTTTATTCAGTGCATTTTACTTCGATGGGTTTTAGCACTATTGCATTTTAAGTATATCATTAGTAGGAATGAAAAATATTAAAGTATTTTGGTGGTTTTTTTTTTTATCTTCCTTTTTTTTAAAGCTGCTTGTTGAAATAGGTTCCTGCTCTATGGAGCTCGTGACCTGGTGCAAGACAAGTTGGAATTTCCTAAGTTCAAAGTTCTGGGATATTTTCTTACACAAAGAGAGTTAAACAGCCATATTCATGACACTAGCTCTCATTATTCAGCTCTTTTCATCTTTCAGCTAGGTCTAGATTCCTTTTCCATCTTACCATTCTGTCAGGGTGACATATCTTAACATTTTTTTTTTCTCCATTTGGGTCTAGAAATAACTTTTGTTGCTATGGTCCTTTCTTACTTTGCTTAAAATAATTTGTGTTTTTCTTTGCTGCACTTGCCTTCAAAGTAATTCACTCCAAATGATATGGCTTTTTATCTTTTTATTTTTCTATTCTGTCTACTTTCTTAATTTCTTATGCCTTAAATTTTTAGGTCAAATGATTTGTCTTTCCTTATTTGTTGTCTGTCATTGTGCTATTTTTCTTTTTTTTCAGATGCAGAAGCAGCCCAGAGATTTCAAAAAATGTCCAGGGTACACCTGTACAGTGTCCCCCTTCGATGAACACAACTGATGCTTGTTCTGTCTTTCCAAAGAATGTGAATAATTTGACTGTGGGACCTGCTCTAGGTTGTGGCCTCAATAAATCATATTTTGGGGAGATTCCCTTCTTACACGGCTGGCCTTCCATAAGGCTGCTGCTGATTTGGCCAGATATGGCCTCAAGGCCCACCACATTGAGTATACTTCCCACTGGCGGCTTTGGCTCTTGATCTTAAGCTTATGGGGCAATTATGACCAAGAAAAGCTCATCAGATCAATTGGCTGCTGCCCTTAAATCCTTCTGTAACATAAATGCATTCCAAGATATACAAAAACTCTGGTTGTTAGGAAATTCATGGCAACTTTAATATTCTTGGAACAGTAGGTCTCTATAATTGTGTTCCAAAATTAGTTATTTTTACTATTACTTAAAATAT